CGTCAAGACGGACCATTCTACACTCCGGAGAAAACTGAATTCAGACCAGCTGAGCGGCCCAAAGCTGTTAGACCACAGGATAATTTGCGAACTGATGAAGGCGATTTTGTTCGTCCCGAAAAAACGAAATTCATTCCAGCTGAGCGTCCACAACAAGTTCGGCCAGAAGATAATCTTCGCCAAGATGGACCATTCTATACTCCGGAGAAAACTGAATTCAGACCAGCTGAGAGACCAAAAGCTGTCAGACCACAAGATAATTTACGAACAGATGAAGGTGATTTTGTACGCCCCGAAAAAACGAAATTCATTCCAGCTGAGCGTCCCCAACAAGTTCGGCCAGAGGATAATTTGCGTCAAGATGGACCATTCTATACTCCGGAGAAAACTGAATTCAGACCAGCTGAGCGGCCCAAAGCTGTTAGACCACAAGATAATTTACGAGCAGACGAGGGTGATTTTGTACGACCCGAAAAACAACATTTCGTTCCAGCTGAACGTCCGAAACAGGTAAAACCAGAAGACAATCTTCGTCAAGATGGGCCATTTTACACGCCAGAGAAGGCGGAATTCGTTCCAGCTGAGCGACTAAAGGCTGTCAAACCTGAAGATAATTTGCGACCAAACGAAGGTGAATTCCAACGGCCCGAAAAACAACAATATATTCCAGCCGAGAAACCGAAACAAGTCAAACCGAAAGACAACTTAACCACTGGCGTCGGTGAATTTATTGTGCATGAAAAACTCGGACCAACTGGTAAGAAAATTAACCATTTTCCAAGCATTTGACCGGCTTTTTTACTGCACAGGCAAAAAAGACCCAAATGAAATTTATGTGTTTCAACTTAATAAAAAATGATTGGAAAATTTGATACATCCAACTTATTCATTAGGTCCATGTGAGAAACGGTCTCCAATAAAACATGACGACAACTTACGTACAGGCGAAGGTGATTTTGTAACACCCGAAAAACAGAAATACATTCCAGCTGAGCGTCCAAAACAAGTGAAACCGATTGACAATTTGACAACATTTGAGGGAACATTTGAACAGCGCGAGGAAATATCGTTTATAGCGGCTGAAATACCAAAAGCAGTCAAGCCAATCGATCAGGTATATTTCCATTAAAATTCTTGAGAAAAGTGTTCAAGTAAAAAGTGAAAGCAAAATAATACTATAAACAAAGTACTCAGTTACGTTTGCATTGCAATAATAAAATAATTATATTACATGGTAATTATGCATGCATTAAATTACGTGCACAAAAGAAAAACGTCATCACGAACGGCTGTAAAAAATGCAATTTAGAACGTTGAGTGAGTTTAGTCATAAAACAACTGGACATTGTTATGGAAAGGAGATTTATTTCAACAATGCTCATGGTGACTTTTATCGATTTTGAATGCTTTTCTGTTTTACCATTTTTGTGTGCAATAGAAAGCTTTTTGTAAACTATGGGACAATACATTTATTTATTCCAATTTCTTTTCTTTGTGATTTAACCTTTGATGTTTCATTTTCGTTTCAGTTTTACTTGGAAGGTGATTTTGTACGCCCCGAAAAAACGAAATTCATTCCAGCCGAGCGTCCCCAACAAGTTCGGCCAGAGGATAATTTGCGTCAAGATGGACCGTTCTATACTCCGGAGAAAACTGAATTCAGACCAGCTGAGCGGCTTAAAGCTGTCAGGCCACAGGATAACTTAAGAGCAAATGAAGGAGACTTCGTTCGGCCAGAGAAACAACATTTCGTTCCAGCTGAACGACCACAACAAGTTCGGCCAGAAGATAATTTGCGACAAGATGGTCCATTCTATACTCCGGAAAAAACTGAATTCCAACCAGCTGAGCGTCCCAAAGCTGTCAGGCCACATGATAATTTACGAACTGATGAAGGCGATTTTGTTCGTCCCGAAAAAACGAAATTCATCCCAGCCGAGCGACCAAAACAAGTTCGGCCAGAAGATAATCTTCGCCAAGACGGGCCATTCTATACTCCGGAAAAAACTGAATTCCAACCAGCTGAGCGGCCCAAAGCTGTCAGGCCACAGGATAACTTAAGAGCAAATGAAGGAGACTTCGTTCGGCCAGAGAAACAACATTTCGTTCCAGCTGAACGACCACAACAAGTGCGTCCAGAAGATAATTTGCGACAAGATGGTCCATTCTATACGCCAGAGAAACCACAATACAAGCCAAGTGAACGGCCAAAAGCAGTTAAACCACAGGATAATTTGCGAGCAGATGAAGGTGATTTTGTACGCCCCGAAAAAACGAAATTCATTCCCGCCGAGCGACCAAAACAAGTTCGGCCAGAAGATAATCTTCGCCAAGATGGACCATTCTATACTCCGGAAAAAACTGAATTCAGACCAGC